TTACTAATTCTGAAGGAAGAATTGGTTATGTATTTTCTTATTAAGAAGCTTATTGCGTATTATATGCTTAATAAATAAAATTATGTTATTAATTTTTTTTTTGTTTTTTTTTTATAATAGGAAAACGAAACTATTTTACAAAATTTATATAGTTTGTTCGTATATTATTTGTAAAATAGTAGTAGTACGTGTTACAAGAATAAAGTGGTATGAAAATGCAAATTGGGACTTATAGAAAAAAAAATCTATCTCACCAAATTCTGAAATTAAATTAATTTTGATTATGTTTTTAAGTTTTCCAAGATAATCTATTGACAAATAATAAATTATCTAGATAATCTGTTGAAGCACCTTTCGAGAATGCAACGTTTTAATAATTGAAGATGACGATTTGTTTTAGTTTAAAAGCGTCAACCAACATATTTTTCTTGAAGGTTGCATAGCTTTATTGTTTGATTTATATTTGTAAATGAGGTGCCAGAAATTTATAGTTTGTTATTTATCGAAATTTATAGTGAGAACAAAACTATAAACATGGCATATTAATATGAAGGAGATTCTAGAGTTGATAATTAAAAAAAAAAATAATCATTTTATTAATAAATTCATTGATACATTTTATTATATGAAATCATATACGTATCTATATGATAGAAAATGAGCTTAATGTTGTCTCGATGCGAGATTTGCAAAATTTGTTAAGAGAGCAAATAGAGATTCAGTATTTAATTCCTAGCGATAGTTACAGCTTTTGTCATCAGTTAAAGTTAGGTAATAACCTACAACAATAATGTAGAAAGTAACTTTAATACAGGTTGTCGTTAAATGAAATCAATAATTGAAATTAATATATTCATTTGAATATTGGCATTTAGTAATTCGGGAGAATCTGAAATATTCGTCCGCGCAAAATTATTTAAGGATGTACGGGAAATTAAAAGTGAATTAAAAAAGCAGCGAGCTGAATAAATTTTCGGAATTTAACGTTAAAAATGCAAAACAACCATATGTTTTATGAAACTATTTTTTATTAAAGGAAAGTGGCTCAACCTGAAACATCAATTTGCATAATTCACATAATGATCACGTGGTTTGAATTTTTTTCTAACGCTGAGTGAACTAGTCATAGTCTGCAATTTTTTCCGCATACCTGATACGTTGTGGGTAACATAATGCACAAAATGATTGGACATAAAAGATAATTAGATTATCTGTAGTAAATAATGAGTCATTATGAAACGGAAAGAAGTCATATGTACTACGTTACGTCAAATTAAAAATTTAGCAAGTCAAAGATTTGTTGAGTTATAATGATTTTAATAATTAAATTATCAATTTAAACAGAAACAAATCTCACACGAACTTTTAATTAATACAAATAAAAATATCTTTGCAGTTAATAAATATGTAAATATTTAGTTCAATTTGAATCAAAGAGTTATTTTCACATTTAAATCAGATGATATGACCCTGCATTTACAGAATCATATAAAATTACTTTATTCATACATTAAATTCATATGACTCAAGTGCAAATAATGATAAGGTGGCATAAAGTCAATTTGTCGATTAAAATGGATAATGATTTTTGCGTACGTATTATAAAAGAACATTCGAATTACTTGATTTATGTGAAATTAATAAGTTGTCCAACTAAAATAAATACATCAATAGATAACTTAAAGTATATTATAAATTGAAACATAAAGCTTCGGTAATTCAAACAAATCCGGTTCATATCAAGTTTAGACGTGAACCTTAACTAGTTCAGGTTTATCTTAAAGTGAATCAAAGCTTCGGTTACAATTAGCTAAATCATAGCAATAATAAACAGAATAAACAAAACGAATTACGATGAGTCAGAAGCTTTTATTAATAAAAATTAAAATACTGTAAATATATGTAGAACAAAAACATATGTTTACTGGAGGGCCGTATACTGATATCTTACGTAATTCGAAAGATAGAACACTATCTCTTCTTACACAGGATTATATAAATTAAGTACCGTATAACCGTTAAACGGTTTTAAATTATGCACTAACTTCCATAGGTCACATTATACAGTAATTATATAAAAAAGCCAAGTCAACCCTGAAGAAGATTGAATTCGATTATAATATTGTTCAAATAATGGCTTAGCATAATAAACAAAACTGTGTGCGTCAACAAATGCAGACCTCAGATTTGGATGAGTTTATTAATTATTTTCCGTAATTGGCTACTCATGCATACACAGGTAATAGATTTTCAGTATCGATACTTCTCTGTTGTTTGATGATGCATCATCACAGATTCGCAGGGGATATTTCTTTTCTTTAAAACAATAGTTCACAGATTTTCATATACGAGAGTAGGGCAAGAGATACCACCGTCGTTTGTAAATTACTTAAATAAAAGGTTTTTTTTTTAAGAATTGAAAAAATGATGACTAAAAGATAGCATCATAATTGAAGACCACTTATATTCTAATTCTCGACGTTGAGAAATATATTAGTTAAGTAGGTGCGAAAATGATAATAAAAAAAAAAAACAGGTTTCTGGCAAAAAAGTGGAGGTTTTCAGTAAAGTAATTTCAAAACTTACTAAAAATTGGTCAACGAATTTGCCACACAGAAGTTAACCTAAGTACCTCATATTATAAATTGAAAATTGATAATCTCGATATCTGTAATATCTGTATATTCGGCATAATTATGTTGTAACACTCCTAAAACAATAAATTAATTAGTATACTGTCCTTAGTCTGAAAGTTGCGCAATACTGTAACAGATTTCTTACTCTATTGAGCTTTGTAGTAGATCCTTCTGTACTCTTATTTCTTTGGTTCTACATTACAGTTGTGAAAGAGATGAATTATTACGTAAAAAAAACTAAAAAAAAAATCACGTAATTGTCCCAGATTATAATGTGTTTGTTTTTAACCATAATAGGTTGCCACAAATAATGCGATCGTAGTGATAAACTGTCTCTCATTAAATTATGCATAAAAGTTTAAAAACAATCTATTTTATTAAGTTAATTGATCGTATTGTACTTATAAATACATATAAGAGTTATATATGTTAGATATCAAGAAGATTAAACAACTTTTAACATAGTAAAAATATGTGCAAAAAAAAAAAAAAAAAAGTAATATCTATAAGAATGTAGGAAATTAAGAAAAATAAGATTACATACTGTATACGCAAAAAAGAAATCTATAGTGCATGACATATAATTAATGTAATATGAGAATAATGTAATATAAAAAAAAAGAAAAACAAAAAAAAAAACAAAAAAAATATTGATAACTCTTTATTTCCATACAGTACATATCATAATTTTCTATATTGAAAGAAAGCAGATGACCCTTAATTGTTCGTCTTTTTGAGTTTAGAAATCATCTCGTTGACAAGTTGGTCTTGAAGTGATGTGACCGGAGAGAATTCTTCACCAAGAAAAAGAAAAGAGACATAGCTGTCATCTTTTGTAATGGTTGCTATATTAGCAGAATCATAATAAAATAAATATTGAGGAGAGGACGATTGGGATGTTTGGATATTTGTTTGATTACTCCTTTCAGAGACAGGAGTATTTATATCAGAAGAGCTAGGGACAGAAGTATTTCTATCAGAAGAGCTAGAGGAAGTATTAATATTCCTTCCAGAAATAATAGAAGAGGTCTTCTTTGGTGTCATGATTTTTTTTAAAAAAAGTTTATTTGCTTAAAATGATATCTTTATTTTTTTAAGTTTATTTACTTAAATGATATTTATTTTTTTTAAGTTTATTTACTTAAAAATTTTTTTTCTTTCTCGATTTTTAATTTTTCAGAGAAGAAAAGGGGGAAGATTATTACGGATCATTGAGACACAAGAAATACATTTGTCATCTTAATGTCGCACGTAAACTTTTTATACTGTAACCATATTTTGTAAAATAATTTTGTTCATATACGTTAATCAAAACATAACCAATATTAGACTGGGTTAGATGCTGCATGAAATCACTAGCACCCGGGTCTAAAGTACCTGGGTATATTGTACAGAATTTAGGTTCAAATTTTAAAAAAGTTATGAAACTCCTGACAGTCGAATTGTAAAAGAAATAAATCATTTATTCAACGCAGTAAAATTCTTTTACACATAATGTATTATTCGTTATACGTTTACATATTCACATGTTTATGTGATACAAATTCTTTCGTCGTAATAAACGAAGGTGATTATTATATACTTCTTATGTGAGTATCTAGCCACTTTCATTCATGTTATTGGTCATTTCTATTATGTGATACGTCTACCTCCTCCTATTGAAGGTGAGTGTGTATTCTATTTAGGAATGGCTTAGAAAAGATCTAAAAAATGGTTAGCGTTAGCTGCTTTATGTCAATAAACAAATGGTCATGTGTCATGTGGTATCGGTATGTATACAGTGAATGCTAAATCATAACGATGGCCAAGAGTCACCGTTATAGCTCAGCATCCTAATAAAGAATCAGTTATCATACCAATAATATGTACTAATAGATGTAGTAGCAAAAAAATTTAATTTTGTAAAGTAAGATTAAAAAAGGGGAAGCTGTAGAAGAATTTTATACTCCAAAGTATGTGATGTTAATCATCACCACTTTTACACTGTCTTTTTGCAGATCACGTGGAATTCTTTTTAAAGAAAGGAATTCGTCACTGCACTGATAAGCAATCACGGACAGTAGCGAACCACCGCGTAAATAACGTACTGATATTAAACAAAACATTTTGGAGTTTACGCATTAAGATTTTTCGAAAATTGAAAAATTCTTGGTTTATATAATTTACTAACGAAATTTGTTTGTTATATATTTTGTTTTCAAAAAAAAGGCATTATCCAATAAAAATGAATTGAAATTAAAAATCATAAAACGGCATATTTAACAAAATGAATAGGAACAAAGAAGTATTTTATACTCTTTATTCGTTTTTTACTTTAAGGAGCAAAAAGGGTTGTTAAGATTTAATTTACCTAAAATTGGATGTTCATAAAGTTTGTAACATTTTGTGATAGAGTTAATTTACACATTTATTAATAATACAGTAATAGATTCGCAAATTTTGATTTATTAATTTATGGCACATGAATCTAATCATTGCCATATCTCATTCACTCTAAAATTTGTGCAACTGAGTAATATTCCATCCGCCAATAAACTTTATGAGAAACTTTAGAAGAAAGAATGAAAGTCTTTATGTTGTGAAAATTGATACGTAGTGTGAACCCATTTTTTTTTTTTTTTTAGATAGATTTCACCTATCAAAATTAATTATTTCATAAAATCAAAAAATAAAAAAGGAAAAAAAATAAAAAAAAAAAATAGATAAAAAAAACAAAGTTTTAAACAAAAAAATAAGTATTATTTTGATAAAATTTACAGTAAACAGTACAGTACGCAAACTTAATCTAAATTATTTGAATTTTACTTTCGTAAAAACAGTATGATTGGCAAGATATTCATAAAGTTTAAAACAATATATTCAAGTATTTATTTTACAATATAGCAATATGACAGATAGTATATAGTTGACAATATAATTGACAATTGAAAGTTCAAATAGAGTTTGGACCCGTCAACTGCATATCCAGATGCAAATGTCTCACGAATAAGAATCTTTATCCGCCAGTTTCCAAAAGGGTAACCTAACGGATACCCGCAGTCAGAGATAGGATCTGGTGTTATGGTCAAAATTTTCTTTTTAGTTAGTATCATTATTCTATTTATGTATTTCTTATTTGTGGCATAATTGAGTGATTAAAACCTTCAGCGAGGGATTGAAACCCCATAAGAATTAAGATATATAATTTAGTATTATTGTGATAATCTGATGTATTATTTATGTTAATAAAGATAAACCTTATAACCTGTAATTATGTGTGTTAGTTTTCCATTTTCCTTAATCACTATTTGTTCACGATCGAAACTAAATTGATTCAAGACCCTATAAAGCTCTCCTCGATCGTAACATACCCGTATGGTTGTTAAAGGAGTACTCCAGACTAGTGTTGACAGGCGAAACTATTTTTGGCAAATGGCGAAAGCCGAAACTAAACCCGGCAAAAGGCGAAACTGGCGAAACTCCTACTAAAGTTGAACCCCTATGGAAAGTTAAAACTTGGCGAAGATCAAATCCGCTAGACTTCTGAAAAGACTGAGCCGTTTAATTTTTATTAAATTCGTGTAACGATGATCGACGAAATTAGCCAATCAAATTGATGCGTGATAAATCAGGATATGGCGCTATGAAATTGAATTCGGTCGAAACGGCGAGTCAGTCGCTCCACGATCCAGATTCTTGCGTAACATACGGTTGGATTAGTCGAAAAGAGGCGTTTAGATTTGGTCGGTGGTTTGGGTCCGTAGGTAAGTATTTTTCCTTTACTCGTCTTGGGTTTTCCTTCTCTTGAACTTTCTACTAACTTTAATCCTCAATTACCTCACTACTTCGGGTAATTGGACACTACGTACAACCTCAACTATCACACTTCTTTGGATAGTTGGACTCGAGTAACCACGGTTGATCCTGGTACTTTAGGATACAACAACCGAACAATACTACCGGATAGAACAGACAATTGCAAGAAGCGGGTTTTTATGGTCTGGGACGTTTATGTATTTATTATTATGTAAGGGGCCAGTTATTATTTTAATAAAGCAAGGTTCGGAACTGTCTTTTCCCTAGGGCCTTCTGGCCTTTATTTATAAGAGCAATTTACTATATACATTTTCACGTTCTATACTATCGTTGCCTAAGACTACATGTACTATTATGTTTACGACTACATCAGTGTTCCCTCCCTTACCGACTTCTTTACTTACTCCGCCTCTTTGATCAGAAAGGACTTTTCCTATGTTTCGGTCCTTTCTGACGATTCTGACTTTTCTAGCCGGGTCACCCTTATTTGGTTAGTCGCGTCACGTGGCACGTGACTTAGCCGGATAACACTATATATATATATATAAATATTTGATTATCAGTCACTATTCTTAACGTTAAGAATTAATTTCAATAAAATAATACTATTTACTATACGCCCCATGTATCAGCATTTACCGGCAAGTCAGTTGTGGTAATATTTAATAATAGTGAAGGTATTTCACATAAAAATGATCTCTCATTTATTAGAAGTTTATTAGATCTATACGATTTCCATTTTGAAGACTCTCATATCCAATTCCTAAAGACATAAATATTTATTACATTTGTTAAATAACAAAATAATAATATAGATTATTCACATTGCCTTTAAGAATTTATATGTCTACTCTTCAAACTTTTTGAGTCTATCTAAAAATTCACCATATAAAGCATTACCATATTCTTTTCTGTTTTTTCAAGTACAAACTTCTTACAAATGTTTTTATAGATCTAATTAGGTAGGTTTGATTTGTTGTAATTTATTTTCTTTAGTCATAGCATCAAAACAATCACCATATTTCATCATGTTGTATTAAAAATTCCTGCTTGAAAACTTAAAGACGTTTTTGTCATATTCAGATAATGTAGTAAATGGTTCCGAGCTATCATCTAAAATTTCTGAACACAATAGATGATCATATCCAAGTTTCTCTATGTATATTTTTTCCAGTTTGTTTTCGATATTCTTCTACATGGAATTTTCATCCCTGATAATGTAATCTATATTATATATCGGTTAACAAAGTGATAATTCCTTAAAAATGATTATATAATATACATCTCATTTAAGTGATACAAAATTCTCTTTAGCATTGGTTACCCAAGAATCTTTTATGTTCTATTGGGCATGAAATAAAAGATTAAACTTATTAATTTTTCTGAATTAAAGTATTAGTAAAATAGTACTTACTAATGCATCCATCTGTAACAAACTACAAATATAATCAAATGCTTTAGATACCTAAAGTAAAATTTTAAATTCATTACTTATGTTTACAAATAGAATCTAATTGACAACAGATTTGTAATATGGATCAGAAATGTCAATATAAGAAGTAATTTCAGTAATATTCATATAGGTTATAATTCATAAAATTAGCTACACTACAAACCCTTAATATAGAGGCATAGCAAGGCTCACTGATTGCATAACATCATATAGGTGATAATTTATAAAATCAAATATACTACAAGCCCATAATATGAAGGTGTAGCAAGGCTTACTGATTGTATAACATTATATAGATGATAATTTATGAAATCAGCTACACTATGAGCCTATAATATAGAGGCATAGTAAGGCTCACTGATTGCATAACATCATATAGGTAATAATTTACGAAATCAGCTACACTACGAGTCTATAATATGGAGGCATAGCAAGGCTCACTGATTGCATAACACCATATATTTTATCTACTGATAAATATAACATTATATTCACTAAACTGAAACTTGCTTTAGTTTGCAGAAAAAAATACAGTCACTTACATATTTCTTCAATGTACTACCACTTTCAAAACCATTAAGTACTTCTAATTGTTTACCATCTTATATAGAGATAGAATTTTTTGCATTTTGAAGAGTATTTATAAAATTATCTACTTTACTTTCTTTGCTATTAGTTCATTCTTCTGTTTCTAATCATTTATAGAGAGCTGTTACAATATTAATGATTAAGATAAGATTGTATGAAACTAAAAAGTTTTTCATTTTCAGAAACAAAAAAAGATTAAATTAAATTA